GAGTTAGAGTGTCAACCGGGTGTTGGTCCATTCTTGGAGCCAGTTGATCTTGATCTTGTACCTGGATATAGGGAAGTGATTGCAAACCCAATCGATATGGCATCGATTAGGAACCGAATCGAAGCTCAGTGGTAAGTCTAATGGCATCAGTTTTTGGTCATTATTTCTCTTACCTTTCGCTTTTCGTTGAACTTTTTGATCATAGTGAAGAGATTAAAAAGTTTAGCTATCAAAAACTTCATTTAGTTACGAAACTCCGGAAGATTTTGCCGCTGACATGGAGCTGATGTTCAATAATTGCCGAACGTTCAATGAAGATGATTCTCCTGTTGGCATGGCCGGTAAGTGTTTCTTCGGAGCTTGCATTTTCAAGGGTTCTCTATCGTGAGAGTAATAGTTAGCAATCAACTGAAGACCCTTCAAAAGGCCAGAGGTCGATCAACTGTCAAGGGATTCCACTTCGAAATAATTGCTTACCAGAATTCCAATTAATTTAAAGGCGTTTATGCAGTTTATTACTGTCTGGTCGCTGTATAGCGTTACACTTGGCGCGCGGTGATTCTTAGCTAGTTGTCTCGCACGCCCCACAAGTCCATCCTCCGTTCCCCCTACAAGAGGGCCGTCTGATGGCTACAAGTTGCTGCACATCGAGTCCAGCGAATTGGTACCAGCAGTAATAGCATCAAAGACCCATACAGGAAGGCTTAATTGCTATGAACCGATCAAGTCTCTACTTTGGAGAGTGCCCCATGCATTTCGCTTCCGATCAAAATCATTGAAGGATAAGACGATACATACATGACCAATACATAACAGTGAAACTCAATCGGAGATATTGTTTGTGGGCCATTTGAGCGGTAACGATGCTACGTAGCTCCGCTCACAGTCAAGTCCACCCTGAGCAGAAAAACCCGAGCGCCAAGCCCTCTTCTGTGTTACCAATATTGGCCCTAGAAATCGTCAGTAAAAATTTTTAATTCATTTTTCTTTTTTGTGATTCTTTCCAGATTTTTGCCGAAATTTTTCTTATTTTAGGTGCCAATCTGCATAAATTCTATCACAAACGTTGGCGTCAACTCAAATATAACTTCAGTAAACGGCTCAAACGTATGCGTCATGCAGTATAAGTAGGCTCAACAAAATCGGAAAGTCAATCGTCACTCAGTTTTTTGTTTTCACATCGCTAGGGGACAATTTTTGTACTCACATCACAGCCTTCTCCATTGTCTCTTTCTCATCAGGGCTGCTTTTTCATATTGATCGTTTTTGAACAGGTTTTACTTAATTTTTGATGTGCCCTTTTAATCTTTAATGTCATAGTAGTATTTATAATTACTTTTTCTTTGAAAGGCGATCATTACTACCAGCTTGACTTTATGCACGACATTTGAGCTGGACGAGTTGTCCCGTGGGAGTCGTCAACTGGTTCTTCTATTTAGTTCCTTGCCAATATCAGTATGATGTAAGGTAAACAAATGAGCCAGAACTGGAGGGGGCAGGTCTCCAACTCCGGAAAACAGAATCCTGGAAAGTGGCTGCTGTCGGGCTGAAACCGTGGGCAGTCATAGATAGGCCAATCCTTGAGTTCAACTCCAGCTCAGCTTCTGCCATCTTATTGGTGGGAGAGGTGGGCGGAGCGTTCTCCCTCGCGATATCGATAGATCTTTTGGCTCTAAACTTCTTCGATTTCTTTCAGTTTTAATTCTCGAAACGGATTCAACTTTTAGTACCCTTTGGGTTCAAATGCTCTGATTTCCGAAACTGTTGGTACAAAAGTTTTATGGAGTACGCTTCCCCGCGAAACTCGTCCACCCACGCCCCCTTTCCCAAAAATCGATAGTAATGGCACCTATGCTCTCACTAATGCCCAGTATTAAACGGCATTTTTTAGTACTGTATTCAGGTAACTATCGCTTATTTCACCGCTTTATCACCAGGCTTCCTTTAACTGTTTTTAAGATGAACTCAGTGATCTTCGTTGTTTTTGTTGCTTTGTTTCATACTCACTCGTTCATACTCATTCCTCACAGTCATCTTTATCATCACCATTATGGTCATCTCTCACAAATCGGCCCTGGAGCCATTTGCTTTATCATCGTTGTCGCTTTGAATCCGACGGACACTGCCGTAGCCGGACAGCGCAACGGAGTGTGTGTGCATTCCATGTATATATATTGATTACTTGTCAGTTTTCCAGCAATATCTATCCATTAACTGTTACTGTAATGTCTATTATTACTGTAAGTGTATGTCACGGCACTGTCCTACGGCACCTATTGCAGCACTTTTAAATTGGACTTTCTTCTTTTTCTTTCGCGCTGCCCTAACCTGTCATTAGCTTTAAAACACCTCATTTTGAGTTTTTTCTCCCAATTTCCTTTCTCATGTGTATTCCCTCATCACTCATCCTCGCCATTCACACTTATTTTTCCCATATTTTTTGAAAAATCGTTATTCGGTGCATTATGCGTGTGGGGGTTTATCTTGTATTCTATGAACTCTTTTGTTTTGTATTGAAACCGATAAAGATAATGTTCGTATTCGTGCACTGCACAATGTGGCGTAGACAAATAAATCGGCGTAGGTTAGTCGGGATACGCCGTGCACACGACTTCTGTGTAGAATCCTAATGATATTTCCGTGACCAGTAGATATACAAATGGCTTACAAACCCTTATTTAAGTGATCAAAATGATAAATTTCCACGAGAACTAATCAAGTTTGAACGGCTGATTGGTTGGCTATCCCCTCATATCAATTTGAATACTGACCACAATTATATGGATTATGGATAAGAATCACCTTGTGGGTATACCATCTGGGTGGATTATGCCACCGTCTCTTCCATTTTCCCATTTCAGAACGTTTTCTTTACTTCTACCCAAGATCAGGACTAACTGCTTGATCGTACTGCTCAACTTGAAAGAAAAAGGACTTTTGGCGTCTTGCAATTTCATTTTGGTGATGCACCCCGAATTCGACTTCCATTCAGAGTTGTAGTGACATTTGAATGCGTATGTGGCCTTACAATCCGTACAGACAATGCTTTTATCTCACCAGTTATTTCTGGAAAGAAATAATGGAAACTGCTGGTGTGAAAATTTTGCTTTTCTTGGGCGAGTATTGGTCCAGGACCGTTTTCCTAGGCTATGCGCGTGGGCGGCACTGTCCAGACATTCCGCACGTTCGACACGTTTGGCACAAATTCCCGGCTGATCACGACTTTAGGGGAATTTGTTTGTTGGATACATAGCGTCTTGCAGAGCTATGCGAGATCTGGGCATCGATCACCCAGACCCGCTCATTGAGAATACCTTAGTAAATCACCGTTACAGGAATTTCTGTGACGGCAAGCTAACTCAGCCGTTGACTCCGCCTATAACTTTTTTCCAACAGATGATTCACCAATGATTGACGTCCTGGCGATTGATCGCTTCAGAAACATATTTTACATTCCAGAAGCCAGTCAGAATAACTGTACAAAAACAGAAACAACAAAATGCTTACAGCTGGACATTCCTTACGGGCCCTCTGAGTAATTCTCAATTTGGCAAGCTGACTCCCCTCCCATTATTCATGCCCTTCGAGCAGTTCTCCACTGATTCATATCCTTACTATTGATCAGCTCAGAAATATCTAGTAAGTACTGAAACTGAATATTCCAGAACTGAGGCAGAGGGCGAACTTCCGTTGCGCGCGTCCGTCAAAAGTAGGCCACCCCGCCCACTTCGCGCGCGGCGCATCCTCACTGAGGTCTCGAGATAACATTACAGTACCATCAAGTGTGAGTGGAGCAAACGATTTGCATTTGTCCATGTTATCTTCCCATTGGCTGGCTGCCGTGGACCAAGCGCAAACCGTATGCCCCACTGACAAATGCGACGTCTGTCAAGTATCGCGGGCTGACGTGCCGCATGCGACGGCTACGGCGTGACCTAGTTTCTACGGACGCGCGCAAAGAAGCGCACCCGAGGCAGAGCAATTCGATAAAACGAAAAATTGCCCACAGCCAGTGATTCTTCAGCGCGGATTTTGATGGTCCCAGATGCAAAGGCATATATGTATAGGAGGCTCTAGTATAACTCACCGCCAGCCTACCACATATACATAGAGTAAAGAGAAGAGCCAGTTAAGAGCCATCCTTTTGTAGTGTCTACATAGTCGATCAGAGCTCATAGTAAACCCAACTAGTCCTGAAATTCACACGAACATTTTCAAGAACATTTCCCTTCTCTTACTTTTCTCTTCCTTCCTTTTCTTCCAGGAATCACGGGTATCTTTTCCTTTCTTTTCTTTCCTCTACCTTCTTCTGATTCTTCTTCTTCAGCATTCCACAGGCATTCTTCCTTTTCTTTCTTTCCTCTTCCTTTCTCAGATTCCCTTTTTTCGGAAAGGCTTATACATCGTTTGATCATCTGGTCATATGGTCATCTGATCGTATGATCACCGAGTATCATCATTTATTGATTCTGTTATCAGTCTCTGCCTATGAGTAAGCCTAAGCTATCCCAAAACAAACTGATATCTCGATAGCTTCCACTGCATCTTTGTNAGCATTGTCTGGAATCCAGAGGTCCCTATACCATTCATTCAAATTAATTTTCTGCTTTGTGGTTTTCTTTTTTCCTGTTTACCTGCCCTTGAAGCATTTTTTGCTTAATATTTTTTTCCAATTCATTCATTCAATCTCACTTTTATGTTTGTCGATTCTGCTTTCTATTTGTTTACTCTGCCTCTGGAGCATTTTTTTCTGGTCAAATTACCCATATAATTTATTCAGTTCGTTTTGTGATGCATGGCCCTATTTTCTTTCTGTTTACTCTGGCCAAAAATATTTTTTATTCCAAAGTTCTTTCGAATCTGAACTTTTACATCTCGTTTGCACAGTGATGGCCTATTTTTTGTTGACACATATTCATTTTTTAAATCTGCTCCTTCCTCCATATCTTCCCATGAGCTCCCTACACGCCTCCCTACACGCTTCCTCATACCCCTCCCGTAAGTAATAGAACGAGTAGAAGCACTGCCCTTCTCCACACCCCTGACCATAAGGGCTTAGCAATAATCAACTGGCGCTCAGGACAACCGAGTCTTGCACCACTCCCTTTCCTGTTAAGTGTAATCCCGTTCCCCTATGTGGATACTGCCAAGACTAGTATCCCGCTCAGTTTTACAGTAGCGTTTGAAAGGTTATTCGGTTTTTACATGCTGCGGCTTACAGGAGTCCAACTACTTACCAGTCAATGTTTCATGCTCTCATACCAGTATGGAACTCTTTGAACAATCCTCAGGAGGTATGGTAGAACCAGCTATTGAACGGCTGGGTATCGGTCCGTCTGGGTCTAATCAAGTGTGTGCATCATCCTGTGATCATACGCAATTTTAAAGGATAAAGGATAAAGTCTTGGGGCCTTAACCAGTAACGTCCGAGGAATGCGCCCCGCATTCGACTTTCATTCAGAATCGTAGTAACGCATTGAATGCGTATGTGGCCTTTACAATGACTTGTGGTGGTCAGCCAAAGTACAATTCAGTGCGTTAATCCTTCCAGACGGGCCTGATACCATTTAACCGACCTTGAAGTGATGTAAGGCTTGGTCGGTCTAAGATACCCAATCTTATAGAATAAAAACCTTTATTTTACTTTCTTTATTTTCTTCCAGGTGTGAATCTAATGTGAACATCAAATGGTTCCTAAAAATGATGGGTAAATACCTTGTAATGGGTTGACGCTGGTGTCACTCCTATGTCACAAACTGATGTAAAACGCATGGCGCAGCCAGGCCACAGTCATTGAGTATTTGCGTAATGTGGCGAATGATTACTGTTTGTGGCTGCGCCATGCATTTTACGGAATTTCTCACAATCAATCCTTTTACAGTTGTCATATTTTGTGTGGCCAACATATCGTTTTTGATGATCAGCATTTCAATTACGCCTCATGGGCTCATGCGATTCAATGCTGAAAGTTCAAACCGATGCCAACAATAGGTCATCCATGTGTCCTTTTGTTGAATAGGAAGGCGTGGAAAATAGCCCTCCAAATTAGTTTTTTCCACATATTACGATTTGGTACGCAAAAGCAAAAAACAGTAAATAGATTATGAAAGCATCAAGGGGAGCATGTCATATGCAGTAAAGCCTACTAGCACCTGCGGGTACCTTTAAAGACACAGTTCACGATAAA